CCGCACCGAGTCCTTCGGGAGATGTTAAAGGTAAAGGTAGTCCCCTGACATTAAGTCCAGTCATGTCTGACTCTGGGGTGTGGTGCTCATCTCCATTTCTAAGCCGAAGAGCCAGCGTTGTCCGTAGACACCTCCAAGGTCATGTGGCTGGCATGACTGCATGGAGTGCCGTTACCTTCCCGCCGGAGCGGTACCTATTGATCTACTCACATTTGCATGTTTTCGAACTGCTAGGTTGGCAGAAGCTAGGGCTGACAGCGGAAGCTCACGCCGCTCCCCGGAATTGAACCTGCGACCTTTCGATCAACAAACTCAGCAGCTCAGTGCTTTAACCCACTGCGCCACAGATGTTAGCGGGGTATAAATAAAGATAATAATAATAATAATAATAATAATAATAATAATAATAGAGTGTAGTGCAGTCTCTGCTTCTTGAGGCTGTTGAACAGAGGCTGGATGGCCCTCTGTTGGTAGTGCTTTGATTGTGTTTTTCCTGTATGACAAAGAGTGGACTGGATGGGCCTTGGGGCCTCTACCAAGTCTAGGATTCTATCAACCCTGGTCTCCAGTCAAAGTCCAACACTCAAACCATTGTTCCGGCTTATCTCAAGTATGCTCCAAAACAAGTTGAAACAACTCCAGCTAGAAATTCTGGCTTTGTTAAGGGTTCACTTAAAAAAAACTATGCTTACTCACTCTTTTGCAAAAAATAAAATAAAACAAGCTACAGTTTCAGACAAGCACTGTAAACCTAGGTTTTTAGAGAGGGCTTACTTCCTGCTAGGACTTTGTTTAAGTTCCACCCGCAGTTTCCAGCACCCACTTCTGGGAAAGTTCAGTCAGTGAGGTGGCCCTGAGCAGAAGCAGAGTGCACTTCCCCAGTATTAGCGGAAGAGAGAAGTGCACTCCTGAAAGAAAAAGGGGAGCTCTGAGGATTACCTGGGAAGGAATCCCACTGGAGCCTTGTAGCACACCCAAATATCTGGGAGTCACTCTGGACCGTGCTCTGGCCTACAAGAAGTACTGCCTGAATATCAAGCAAAAGATGGGTGCTAGAAACAATATCATACGAAAGCTGACTGGCACAACCTGTGGATCACAACCAGACACAGTGAAGACATCTGCCCTTGAGCTATGCTACTCTGCTGCTGAGTATGCATGCCCAGTGTGGAACACATCTCACCACGCTAAAACAGTGGATGTGGCTCTTAATGAGACATGCCACATTATCACGGGGTGTCTGCGCCCTGCACCACTGGATAAATTACACTGCTTAACTGGTATTGCACCACCTGACATCCGCTGGGAAGTGTGGAGACCAAAATCCACTGATTGCGGTGATATGAAAATAACTAGATTAACTCAATGTATACATTACAAATATACATATCAAAAACTGCCACATACATATAAGTAGAAACAATAGGTTCTTCTCTTGAAGTATAAAGCAAAGTCTTCGTTCAAGAAAATGTCCTTTCTTTATTACATGTGAGTAGACTCCAGAAGTCACATGAAATGACTCCAACCTGCTACCGGTTTCGACTCACAAGAGTCTTCGTCAGGCGGTTGGGTTCAAAATATCAAAAAGAGGGGCTCACCTTTTAAGGTGAGAAATTCACCAACAGTCTTCTGGTGGGGTGGATCAACTATTCTTTGTTGAGCAGTGCACTCTGCAAGAGGTTTTATTCTGTGGCGAGCGTAGGGAAGTAGCAGCCAATAGTGAAAGGACCATGGCAGTGACATCTCCAGCTCATCCCTTGTTTGGGTATCAGCCAGCACGGCAACGACTTAAATCAAGAAATAGTTTTCTAAGATCTACAGAGACACTCGCTGGAACACCCCAGCAAGCGAGAGTCCAAAAGTGGCAGGCTCAAACCCAGAACCTCAATCAATGGCTGATACCAAATGAGAAAACTGGGTGACTTGGAAGGCGCTGAACAGACTGCACTCTGGCACCACGAGATGCAGAGCCAACCTTAAGAAATGGGGCCACAAAGTGGAATCCATGACATGCGAGTCTGGAGAAGAGCAAACCACTGACCACCTACTGCAATGCAACCTGGGTCATGCCACATGCACAATGGAGGACCTTCTTGCGGCAAGACCAGAGGCACTCCAAGTGGCCAGATACTGGTCAAAGGACATTTAATCAACTACCAAGCTTGCAAACTTTGTGTTTTGTCTGTTTGTTTGTTTTATTAAAAATGTAATACAAATGTCTGGTTGCTCCTGACACAATAAATAAATATGGGGAAAAGGTGTTTCCACTGAAGCTTGATCACCAATCCTTGTTTCCACAACAAGCCATATTTTTCAAAATCTAATTTATCACAGAGACAGAAAGGGAGGTGAAATCCTCCAAACAGGGACACAGACAGCAAAGCAAACACCACAGGGGTGTTCACCTTCCCTATGCCTTCCAAAGAGATATAGATAGCTTTGGAAAGCATAGGGAAGTGTTGACACCCCTACAGTGTTTGCTTTGCTGTCTGTCTGTCTATCTATACATACATATAGAGACAGCAAAACAAACACCACAGTAATGTTAACCCTTCCCTATGATGTATATGATATGATAAGACAGAATATATGTGTGTGTGTTCTATTTGAAGCTGAAAAATCAGATAGTATAGGATATATATCTATCTATATAAAAATGCTCTGTGCATATTGAGTACCTTAAAAACAAAAGAACCAATTAACGAAATCACACCAAATTTGGCAACGAAACATCTCACAAAACAAGGAGTGACCACCACTCAAAAAATTGTGATTTTGTCATTTGGGAGTTGTAGTTGCTGGGATTTATAGTTAACCTACAATCAAATAGCATTTTGAACTCCACCAATGATGGAATAGAACCAAACGTGGCACACAGGACTTCCATGACCAACAGAAAATACTGGAAGGGTTTGGTGGGCATTGACCTTGAGTTTGGGAGTTGTAGTTCACCTACATGTAGAGAGCACTGTGGACTCAAATAATGATGGATCTGGACCAAACTTGGCACGAATATTCCATATGCCCAAATATGAACACAGATGGAGTTTGCAGGAAATAGACCTTGACATTTGGGAGTTGTAGTTACTGAGATTAATAGTTCACCTACAATCAAAGAGCATGCTGAACCACACCAACGATGGAATTGGGGCAAACTTCCCACACAGAACCCCCATGACCAACAGAAAATATTTAAGGCCATCCAGACCTACTCCTTTCACCGGGGCAAGAAAACATAATCAAAGCCCTCCTGACAAAGAGCCATCCAGCCATAGATATAGAAAGATATATGATTCACACACAGAGAGATATTGTATCATAGATTTGGAAGGGACCCGTAAAGAAGGACAATGATATGTTGCATGTTCCAGAGTAGGCAAACCAGACAATCTCCACATCAACACTGACAAAGAAACAGCAAGAAATACTGTTGACCCACAAGCAGAAAGACATTACATATATTAGAAACCAACACTTTCTAATTACTTTATTTTCCAGATCACCAGACTGGGGCACAGCAATGTGTGGCAGGGGACAGCTAGTGATATAAATAAAAATGTAATGTTCGTTTGTGGGATGAACATAACTCAAAAACCACTGGATGAATTGACACCAAATTTGGATACAATACACCTATCAGGCCAAGGAGTGACCATAACTCATAAAAACACTGAAAAACACATAGGAAGGAACGTAAAAAGCCAATAATAATAATAATAAATACATTACAACACATGTGCAAAAACACACACACACACATATCTTAGGCGATCCCTCTTTTTCCGAGGAGGATTGTCTTCCAGTATTCTTGTGGGTTTGTATGTGGTTGTGGAGTCCTATTCTTGCTCTGCATCTTCTCCCGCAGTGAGGGCATCGGTTTCCAGGTGGAAGGCGGTCTCGGTCGGCTTGATGCGCCTCCCTCTTGGCACTTTTCTCTCTTTCACCCTCCATTCGTGCCTCTTCAAATTCTGCAGCACTGCTGGTCACAGCTGACCTCCAGCTGGAGCGCTCAAGGGCCAGGGCTTCCCAGTTCTCAGTGTCTATGCCAGAGTTTTTAAGGTTGGCTTTGAGTCCATCTTTCAATCTCTTTTCCTGTCCACCAACGTTCCGTTTTCCGTTCTTGAGTTTGGAGTAGAGCAACTGCTTTGGGAGACAGTGGTTGGGCATCCGGACAATGTGGCCGGTCCAGCGGAGTTGATGGCGGAGGACCATCACTTCAATGCTGGTGGTCTTTGCTTCTTCCAGCACGCTGACGTTTGTCCGCCTGTCTTCCCAAGAGATTTGCAGGATTTTCCGGAGGCAGCGCTGATGGAATCGTTCCAGGAGTTGCATGTGACGTCTGTAGACAGTCCACGTCTCACAGGCATATAGCAGGGTTGGGAGGACAATAGCTCTATAAACAAGCACCTTGGTATCCCTACGGATGTCCTGGTCCTCAAACACTCTCTGCTTCATTCTGAAAAATGCTGCACTCGCAGAGCTCAGGCGGTGTTGTATTTCGGTGTCGATGTTGACTTTGGTGGATACACACATACACTACACACACACATATACATACACAAAATACATATACACAGATTGGGCCACAGCAACGCGTGGCAGGGAACGGCTAGTATGAAATAAAGCCCTGAGAGTTGGAGTTTGGTGAGGCACCACCACGCTTGGGAGAGAAAGCTCAAGCCCTGCCATGACTGGAGACTAGCATTGAGCCATGGTACGCTCAATACGGTGCTCCATGCAGTCATGCCGGCCACATGACCTTGGAGGTGTCTACGGACAACGCTGGCTCTTTGGCTTAGAAATGGAGATGAGCACCACACCCCAGAGTCAGACATGACTGGACTTAATGTCAGGGGACTACCTTTACCTTTACCTAGAGAAGGGAGTCTCAACTTGCATTGATTCCACAGTGGAGATGCGCCCAGGAAGGTCTCCCACCCCAACAGTAACCAGTCCAAAACCAGAGAGGGTTGGGGTGCCTTTGGGAGATTGGGTCTTACCTCTTGCCAAACCCCAGGCGCTCAAGGCGAGGCAGAAGCAGAGAAATCCTTGCATCGTGGAAAGTAATCCAAAGTGTGGAGGGAGCAAGTGCAGATGAGATCCCTGGAGAAGATCTGGGAAGGCAAACAAGATGAACAGAGGCAAAACTCTGCAGAGAAAGGCAGGCTGCTTGCTCTTCAGGAGTCTGTTGTTACCTTTGCTCTGGGGAAGAGCTCCGCCGGGGTTTATATCCCACGAGGTGGTTCCAGGAAGGAGGAGGAGGAGGAGGAGGAGGAGGAAGCCCTGCCCTCTCCTTCCTCCCCTCTGCATTGCCATCAGATCGGTGGGAATTCCCTCTCGCCAGCCTGGTGCCCGGCGGGAAAGTCCCCGGCCCTGCAAGTCTCCGACCCCCAAGCCAGCGAGGTGCACCCAGAGCCACGGTGTCACTCATGAACTTGTGGAAGGGGAGGGGGGGGGCTGCGTGGGTGGATGGTGCCCTTTGCTTTCCATCCAGCCAGCCATTCCACCCATTTAGGATCCCTTTCCCTGAAAAGCGAGGCATTCCAGAAAGGAGAAGTCGCTTTCAAGAAAGGGGAAAGCCCTTCCTATATAGAGCTGAGCCTGGATCTACGCACTCTACAATGGACGCAAGTTGAACACTGCTTTCACTGCCATGGCTCAAGGCTATTGAATCTCAAGGAATTGTCTACTATATCAGTGTTATATCTATCTATCTATCTATCTATCTATCTATCTATCTATCTATCTATCTATCTATCTATCTATCTATCTATTAGGCCTGTTTGATCAAGAAAAAAATTGTTTCTAAAATCGATTTGTAATTGGGGTGTTTTTTTGTTTCGATATTTAAAATAATTACAAAACTTTCCCAAAAAAAAAAGTTTTGGTATTTACGAAATTTCGTAAATATTAACAAATTCTTAGAATATTTTTGGTATTTTTTAAGAATAATATTAAAATAATATTAAAAAATATTTTAAAATGGAAAACGAAACCGCACAGGCCTACTATACAGACATAGCGGGTTTGAGGCAATTGCTGCTTAAAGCCACAGGCTGGTGACAGAAACGAGCAGAAGTGGGTGCAGAGTGCAGCTTAAAACACTGGAAACTTGAAGCGATGGGAGGGGGGTGTGGGCTGTGAGCAGCTTTGTGCGAGGAGGGCCTACCTAAGAGAGGGATTGTGTGTGTGTGGATGGAGGAATGGATGGATGGGGTAATGTATGGCCATGTTCTAGAAGCATTCTCTCCTGACGTTTCTCCCGCATCTATGGCAGACATCCCCAGAGATTGTGAGGTGAGGAAGAGCGGGGGAGTGGGAAGAAGGTGGCGGCTTTCCTACCCTCGGAGCACGTCCTGCTGCCCCCTCCGCCGGACGCGGTTGGTGGGTCCCGGCGCGGAGCCTCCTTCCAAGCTGCCCAGGAGGGGGAAGCTGCTGCCGGGGTGGCTGCTGCTGCTGCTGCTCCCTCCGCCGGCCGTGGCTCCTGGCTCGGCTCCTTCGGCGGGACGGATGAGGAGGAGGAGGAGAAGGAGACGCTCTCCGGCCCCGGACGAGCCAAAAAGCGGGAGCCAGAAGAGGACAGAGAGGAGCTAAGCAGAGCCGAGCGGAGAAAAAGCGGCTGCCCGGCGGAAGGCGAAGGGAGGGGAAAGGCAGAGAAAGAGAGGAAGGGGAGGAAGGGGCCCGCGGAGGAGGGCAGACTCCGGCCTGTCAGCAGGGACCCGCCAAGCACGTGGGAGAGGAGCCCCCGAGAGAGAGGGGGGGAGGGAGAGGCAGCGCCAAAGGGGCGGCGGGACCGGAGAAAAAGGAGGAGGAGGAGGAGGGCGGCAGCGCGGCCCTCAGGAAAGGATGCCTGGCTCGCACAGACCTGGGGAGGGAGGAAGAGAGGGAAGGAGGAGGAGGAGGAGGAGTGTTGGAAAACGGGGAGAGGGGAAAGAGGGCGGGGAGAGCAGCCCAGGCCGGGAAAGAGGGGAATGCCAGGCACCAGCACTCCAGCAGCCTCCACCCCATTAACGAAACGAGCGGAAGCTCGTTAAATCTATGGGGGTTGCCGGTTCGATATTTTAAAACCCTTCCGGGTTTGAAAATGTGTTTTGATATCGCTTCGGAAATGCCAAAAATAACGAATTAATAACGAATTAACGAATTAATGAACGAAACCGCACAGGCCTACTATTCCGCTTTATTTACATATGCTCTGTGCATAATGAGTACCTTAAAAACAAAAGAACCAATGAACGAAATCACACCAAATTTGGCAACAAAACGTCTCACAACACAAGGAGTGACCATCACTCAAAAATTATGATTTTGTCATTTGGGAGTTGTAGTTGCTGGGATTTATAGTTCACCTACAATCAAAGAGCATTCTGAACTCCATCAACAATGGAATTGAACCAAACTTGGCACACAGAACTCCCATGACCAACAGAAAATACTGGAAGGGTTTGGTGGGCATTGACCTTGAGTTTGGGAGTTGTAGTTAGAGTGCTTCTGGTGTTGCTGTGAGAAGGTCCTCCATTGTGCATGTGGCAGGGCTCAGGTTGCATTGCAGTAGGTGTTCAGTGGTTTGCTCCTCTCCACACTCACGTGTCGTGGATTCCACTTTGTGGACCCATTTCCTAAGGTTGGCTCTGCATCTCGTGGTGCCAGAGCGCAGTCTGTTCAGCGCCTTCCAAGTCGCCCAGTCTTCCGTGTGCCCAGGGGGGAGTCTCTCATTTGGTATCAGCCATGGATTGAGGTGCTGGGTTTGAGCCTGCCACTTTTGGTCTCTCGCTTTCTTAGGTGTTCCAGCGAGTGTCTCTGTAGATCTTAGAAAACCATTTCTTGATTTAAGTCGACATGCTGGCTGATACCCAAACAGGGATGGGCCGGAGATGTCACTGCCTTGGTCCTTTCACTATTGGCTGTGGAAGGACACAGGAGAGAGGAGGGATGATTTATTGTTGCCACCAATTTGAAAGGAACCAGTATTCAGGAGATTTTATCCCAGTTCCCAATTTTAAAAAGAACCAGCCGATTTGTAAAGGAGGTTGCCGATTAGGAACCAAATTTACCACCAAGGTAGAAAGGAGGCTGTTCAACTGCACCTCCTCCTTAATTAAGAAAGTAATAACTTAGGAGTAATTACACTGTATATACTGTAGCGTGACTGGAGAGAAGAATGTAGATTTATTTGGTTACTTTTCTCTGTGTTTCTGCCACCACGTGAGGTAAGTTGTAATATTGTGAGAAATGGCACTTTGGACACAGAATAGACGGAGCTGAGGCAATCTTCAAATAAAAGTTAACAATTGTATTAAGTACACAGCGTGTGGTTGCAAGATGTAACTTTTCCTTGTAGCACTTGGAATAATACTTGTAACTTTAACAGTTCATTCTTTCAAGTAACACAGTATCTTTCTGACGTAGAGCACTTGTTTCAGACAAAGTTTCAATACAGGGATGTTTCCCTTATTTGATCCTCCCTAGATCAAATTCTAAGTAAACTATTCTTTAGCCTCTCCTTAGACTAAAAGAATACCAGCTATGTTTCACCATTCGGCTGCACTAGCCTGAGAAACTTCCAGTAGCCAAACCCAGCTTTTCAAAGCCTCAAAGCTTTGCTTCACAAGTCACTCAGCTACCTTTCCTTTCCTTCTCTCCCAACTCCTAACTCCTGACTCCTCTAAACCTAACTCCTGACTCCTCTAAACCTAAACCCTGACTCCTCTAAACCTAAAACCCTGACTGAACATTAACTGTCGTTTTTTAAAACTCTCTCCTCTAAGCTCCTCCTACTTCCCTCTCTCCTGCATCAATCTCCATGGCAACGCACATGGAGGACTCCTCTGACTTAGGCCGCTCCAGCATTACTGTAGCCAATCTAAACACAAATACAGTTAAAATCATGCAATTTATAATCAACTCCTGTACAGGCTGTTACTTCCCGGCAGATGTCAGGTGGTGAAAAACCGGCTAAGCAGTGTAATTTCTCCAGTGGTGTAGGGCGCAGACATCCTGTGATACTGCGGCATGTCTCATTAAGAGCCACATCTACATTTTGTGTGGTGAGATGTGTCCCACACTGGGAATGCATACTCAGCAGCAGAGTAGCATAGCGCAAGGGTAGATGTCTTCACTGTGTCTGGTTGTGATCCCCAGGTTGTGCCAGTCAGCTTTTGTATGATATTGTTTCTAGTGCCCACTTTTTGCTTGATATTCATGCAGTGCTTCTTGTAGGTCAGAGCACGGTCCAGAGTGACTCCCAGGTATTTGGGTGCGCTGCAATGCACATTTTTTGGTAGATGTCATTTAGTCACCTTTTATCCTGGTTACTTCTGCATTTTAGGGCCTGTGTAGAAGGGCTCCTAGACTCATTAGTGTAGAGTAGACTCTTGGTATCCACTGGGGTTTGGTTCTAGGATCCCTGGATGATCAAGACCCATGATATACAAGAGTGTCACAGTGTCATATCCGTTATAAAATGAATGAATCAAGGTCTGCTTTATGGATTTTCATGTTTAATATTTTCAAGCCGTGGATGGTTGAATCCATGGATAGTGTTTGTATATGTAATTAAGGGAATGGAGATTTTGGTCCCCAATGTGTCATTTTTTAGTCACATAGGGTAAATTGCATTAGCAATCTCAATACCCTTTCAGCCAGTTTGGCTGAATCCATTTGGAACTCTTCTCAATTTCCTTCTCGTTTCTTGCTGACCTGAATACATATATACCATATTTCTGTGTGTGTGTGTAAATATAAATATTTTTTAAGTAAGGTCCATTTTGTTGTAGACACTAGTAGTTCGCGCACATACCGCAACGAGCGCGTGCGTCGTGTACCGGCATGCCTCGGGAACAACTGTGCTCAGTTTCTGCTTTGTAGCTAACCTGTACGGTTCTGTTCTGTGGTTTAAAAATGTTTAAGACTATCAACTCACCCTCCGCATGTGAGGTTTTCTCAGTGATACGGTTTTTGTCAGCAAGGAACCTGCCTGCTGCAGAAATTGATCGACAGATTTGTGAAGTGTACGGTGATACTGTTATGAGTGAAAGCAAAGTGCATAAGTGGGTACGACAATTCAAAGATGGCCGTGACAACGTCCATGATGAGGACCGCTCCGGTTGCCCTTCTTTGATTACAGACGATCTGATTTGCTTGCACACTCAAATCTTTGGTTTTTGTGATCCTCTGTTAGGAGTT